GACCCAAAGCAGAGAAGACACAATAAGGAACTATGTCATGAACAGAATGCTGGTAGAAGTCCTAGTCACAAACTGCATCAGGTACTGGGTACAAGCTGGACAACTTCTGAGGAACACATCCCTGTCTCCTGGTAGACCCTTGCACTTACTCTCCATGACTGAAGAGGAGGCAAAGAGGATTCCATCATCTGTTAATAATGAAAGCAACTTATTCCTGCTTTTTCTACTCAGGCCTGTGTGGCCATCATGTAAACCATACAGTGGCTCTTCGTTTCAGAGAAATAGCAAAGAATTATTTTTCTCCTCAAAATTGAAAATAATATTAAGCAAGTCTTATTTTTACAGGTATCTGAAAATGATTTCAAAATAGCCAGGGGATCTCTTTATATGAACAATATAACATGGTAAATGCTGTTCAAACCCACAAATCAAAGTGAACTCATAACGGTTATGAATAAAATTACATCACTTTCTGCCTACATGGATAATTATGGGTTTCAGGTCTTTTAGTATTTTCTTCCCATTAGTACCGAAGTCTTTAATGTTTTCAATTCTAAGAAGTACACTTTATGTTCATCAACTTCAGAAGCCAATTTAAGGTTTCTGATCAAGCTCCTCTGTGGAGATGCTAAGGCCCTTCCTTCTGTCTTACCAGTACTCAGGTTGCAGACTCGTCTGTTAGTTCCTCAGAGCCAGCAGGACACTGCTGCACATGGGGCAGCATTTACCCTATCTTGGGAAGAACATGAATAGGTGTCTCTTTGTCTTCTATTTCAATGACCTTATTTGTCTCTTGGTCAAGGAAGATTTGTGAGAACTTCAGACTGTGAACTATAGCATTTTTTCTACCATAATATCCCTGTATTCACAAATGTACCTGGTGTTTCCAGCAAGTTAAATGTTATCATTTAAGATGAACTGAAATACTGTCAAGCAAAAACCTGTGCTTCTGGATAATAAAGAGATTATTTCCCCTAACTTCCCAAATGATCTAGGGATAGATAATAGACACACAATAAAGAGGTATAATTGTGCTTTTCTCCTAAAACATATTGAATGATGGTGTAGAACATATTTGGCAAGATGAAATTGTCCCTTTAAAAATGTCTAATAAAACTTATGAAGTCATAAATAGGTTGGTCCTACAAGATGAAAGCCAGATTCCTTTGGTTCCATTCTGGAATAAGTTACATCAACAGGATGGTAATGACCTTCCAAACAAAAGATAAAAGGAAGTTAATGGGTAGGAATAAAGTTTCCTCATTCTAAGAAGCTGTCTATAGGACTTCAGAGACATTCAAGCTAACAGAGCACTCTACTGATCCCTAGAACAAGTAGTACTGCTCCTGTGAGAGGCCATACAGATCTTCTGTTGTCATTCAGATTTACAAAGGGAATAAATAAAATTTATGCCAAACTGCATCGATTAAACAGGATAAAGCAATTACATTCACCACTCTCCAGGTAGGACCCATTATCACAGGTAAATATAGTATCCCTAAAAAACGCATTCAAAATTAGTCTTTGGCTTACTATGTGTTAACTAAATTCAGGACTGCAATAAAGTGTACATAAATGTCAAGGGGAAGAAAAAAAGAATGAAATAAAGGAGTTATAACAACCTATCTGGTGTTTCTTCTGGAAATGAAGAAACTCAACCTAATGCCTTTTATTGAAATGATCCCTTTAGTTTCTAGACTCCCTTATAAAAGGCAGCTAAATGTTTTGAGTCTAACTACTTTAGCTTCAAAGATAATTCAGTCAATTGAAAAACATTTGAGAGCTTTAAAAAAGAGGTGGTATCAACTGAAAAATAGCCAAGGTGTTTGTGAAGCAGTGAGACTGAGGGATGGTGATGGAAGGTAACTTTAAACTGAACACCCACCAGCAGGTGTTAGTAGTGTGTCGAGTATATATGTACAAAGTACCCTTCAACTTACAACTTAATTTTGAATATATGAAAAAGGAGAGGAAAAATTAAAGGTTTTCTTCTCAATACAGCACTTATGCTGGTTTTAATTGACACTCAAATGAACTATAAAAGGCAGCATTCCTTTCTCAAACCAACTAGAAACTATAGACAAAGGGTGAACTGACAAACCACTGGACTGACATTTAAAGCTTAAAGATCCTTTTTACCACACAGTACTAAATAAAACAGACTTTTCTCTGCCCTTTTTAACTCCCTGGGCCAGGTCCCTTGAGACTCTATACTTCCTTTGGTAGCAATTTTGGGAATTAATGCTGTCTGATATGGTGGGTAATCAGCATTTCTCTCCCTGAATTCTTCCTCCTAACTTCATCACTCCCAAGTGAGGGATTCTCTGCTAGGAGCAGAAACAGCATTGATAATCCCATAATCATATGCACAGACTAAGTAGAGTGTTAAGTCAAGGTACAAGATTAAACAAGAAAGAAAGAGCTGACAGGGAAGAGAGAAATTATTAACTGACACAGCCATTCTATTTACACACTGACTTAAAAAATAGCTAAAATCAAGGTAATGTCTGCCCAGAGGATATTACAATTTACCAACATAAAAGATTAAAATCAAGCAGCAACTTTCACATAAAATTAATCAAGAAAAAAATGAGTAAGAAATTGTCAGTAGCATCTATCTCCTCAATGTGTTTGAACTGCACATTATAACTAGTCCATTAGTACAGCAGCTTGCTAAAAATTGACTTTGGTTCAAGCTTAGTTTAAACAACAACAACAACAAAAAACCCACACCGTACAAAATAGGTGGATGAGTGTTTGTTAGTTTCCCTGCTTGAAGTTCACTGATTTTTTCTTTTCTTTTCTTTTTTTTTTAAAAGAGGGAGTTTAGAAAATTATGGGTGAGAGAAATTCAGGGGTAAAAATGTCTGAGAAATAAACAAAAGTAACTAAAGAAAATTTTAAAGGGGGACCAAAATGTTTGACCTTTAATATTAATATGACCTCCCAACTGAATCACAAAGAAAGATACACATTTGTGTCTGTGTTACTGCCTTTCTGAGTAACAGTGCACAGAGATGAATGCACAGAATCCAAGTTTCCTATGGACACAAGCAAAGCAATCAGAAGGAAAGTCACCCCAGCTCAGCGCATTCCACCAGAATCTGGAGCAAGCACCTAAGACACTAATGGGGACCTTAACACCTGTAAAAGCAACTTAGATGAACTTCACTGCAGTGACCCTGTCATTTGTGAAAACTCTGGTACAGATAGTATAACAACAGGGTATTGTCAAAAGGGGAATTTAATCTCTAAATTACCCTCATCCATCTTCATCCATTTTCACAAGCTCTTCCTTTTCAATGGGCTCATTTATGTAGTCTAGAAACACCCTGAAAACAATTACAGGAGCAAATCACTTTTCTTTTTCTTTTTTTTTTAAACATTAAATAAGAGATATGTGTCATCAGCAAACCTACCTAGCTCGCAGGGGTTAACAAACCAGGGGACACCAACAGGCTGCCACATGCCTGCTCAGCCTTTCTCTGAGGCTGATCCCTTGCCCAGGCGGAAAGTATTTCTTTCAGAGAACTGAGGAAAATTTGAGGCTTGGAGGAGCTTAGGAGCCACTCAGTAAAGTCATATCACATCTGTGACTCTAGAACAGAGGTTCTCAACCTTTCTAATGCTGTGACCCTTTAATAGGGTTCCTCATGTTGCGGTGACCCCCCCAAACATAAAATTATTTTCACTGCTACTTCGTAACTGTAATTTTGCTACTGTGATGAATTGTAATGTAAATGTTTGACATGCAGATGAACTTAAGTGACCCCTGTGAAACAGTTGTTCAACCCCCCCAAGGGGTGAGACCCTCAGGTTGAGAACTGCTGCTCTAGAGGAAAAGGCGGCAAATTCAGACTCTATATGACCTCTTTGGGCTGTGAAATTAGTAGAAAACAGTCCACCAGAATTTCCTTAGAAAACAAAGAAAAGAATTGTTTCCCAATTTCAGTAAGTCAATTTGATCTTGACTAAGTCAAAGGAAGTTTGGATGGAAAACTTTCATACAATGAAACCAAACAAACAAGGAAACAAACATCAACAGTAGGAGCATTAAAAAAAAAAAATAAAAGAGAGAGACAGAAATCAGGAGAACCACCAAGTCAGGTGTCTGCAGTAGTCTTTGCTCTTCGGAAGCAAACCCCGCCCTGCAACAGGCACAGCTGTTCCCATTGGAAGTAGCAGAAAGCAGCATTGTTGCCCCACAGGGTTTGGGCCTCAGGGCTGCTCAATGTAGGGGGTGAGTGAGAGCTACAGTTCAGCAGGAATTCCTTCCTACACAAAAGTGCTCCAAAGGCACCACCTGATGGGGGAGGGGTGTGTGTGGAGTTGGGAGTGTTTGCACACACTGCCTTCGGCTTCTGCACCAAGCCTCTTGCATAAGTGGCAAAAGAAAATCATTTTCTAGCACCTCTGTAAGAGTCATCAAGGATAAGGAAACCAGCAAGAACATTCCTGGAAGTTAAGAACGCAAGTCTCCCTTTACCCCCAAACCCTCCCTCCCCACAGTGTGGGAGCTCACTGAAATAGGATCCAGGAGCAAGAGATAAACATGTCCAATATATCTATATATATCTATATATATATATATATATAAACAATAACAGATACAGTAATACAGGCCTGCCTAAATTGTACCAGTTAAGAAAGGAACCCCCAACACAATTGATACGATTATAAACACCTTGTTATGACTTAATGGCCTGTACAACAGACCTATAAAAATGATTTTAAGGAAAAAAAAAAAAAAAAAAAAAAAAAAAAAGAACAAGAAACCTCTTCCTCTATTGGAACTGGTAACCCACCTTAGCTTGTCATCATGACTGCTGGAAATGATAAGTAGTCCTTTCACTTATTTTTGTCTGTCTGTTTTTGATTTTTTGTTTCTGCTTTTTTTTTTTCTCTTTTAAATTTTTGGTTAGAAAGTTCTCCAATCCATGAAGCAATCCTGAAAAGACATTGTTTTATTATAAAAGTAGGCAAACGTTGTCCTGTCTCCATTCTTTTTTTTTTTTTTGTTTTTTTTGTTTTTCCTGGTATATGTATTTTTTTTTTTCTTCTCTGCATGTCTCCCTAACCCTCACATGATGGGAGGAAGCCAATCACACTTAGTTTTTTCAACAGCTGGCAGCCCATCTTGCTGCAGTGCTGAAGGCCTGTGGCAGCCCAGCTCTTGACTCTGCTCACTGTGCCTTGGAGGCGGTGGTGGTGGTGGAGGCAGCCCCACTGGCAGAGGCTACTGTGAATAGAGAGTTCTGGATGGGTTCAGCAGAGGTGGAGGAGGCATGCAGGCTGGCTGCAGGTGCCGAGTTCCCTGTGGAGCCTGCAGCTGCAGAAACCAAGCTTACTGGGTTGCTGGTGAGCAGAGAGAGGTTCTGAGGGTTCAGGAACAGAGGGGCAGTCACGATGTTGGGGGCTCCGCCTGCATTGGCAAATACCAGGTTCCCAGTTGCATCCAGCGATGTTATTGGAAGAGAACCACTAGAAGCAAGAGCTATAAAAAAGACCCAAGATCAGAAAGAACATTAAACTTCATCTGGGAGAAGCCAAATAACACATCAGCAAAGCTCTAGTCAGCAGCAAAGGAGAATGCTTCTTTGCTGATTATATAATCAAGTCTAATGCTATATATAATGCTATCCTTCAATTCTAATGCTATACTGACATCAACTCAAGTTTGTAATTTTGAAGCATCTAAAGAACTGAAAAGTCAATTTAATGAGTATAAGCAGGACAAATTAATGGAGAGGAGTTATGAGACCTGTGTAATGAAGCAATCATGTTTCTATCTTTTAAGTCTCAAGTTTATATAATTTACTTACAAGTATCTGTTAAAATCCAATGATTTTGTCTTTCCAGTGGAACTGATTTAAAACTACCTCCACTCAAAAAGACTACTAGTTGAAATGAGTACTAAAACTATATTTAGCTTTTATCAACTCAGCTACCACTATGTAAATTATCTGACAAAATCTCATGTAAGATGGAAGTTATATTTCCAAGGGCCTTACTCCATGAAAATGTACATATCACTAAATTTAAAAATTTTGTTTTTGTACTTTTAGAGTGAGAACACTTGACTTTTATGACCTGTACAAAGAATACTATTTATTGGAGATACAACACACAATGATGTGTGAGTAATCTAAGGCTAAGATTTGGTAATTAATGGAGAATAATTTTTTTTATGATGCTTCTCTATAGGAGAAATCACTAACATTTCTCGTTGAAGGGAATTTTTGAACATGAAGATACAAATAATTCACAACACTGAGCACTGGTGCAGACTGAAGCATTCCTGGACTTAAGGCTGAGGACACAGGATTTTCTCTGCATCTTTCTGGAGAATGTGCTATAGTCACTCATGCCTTGGGAAAGGCACTCTACCTTTGTGATAATCCTGTAGAACAGATCTCCCCCGTGCTGGAAAAAGTGACTTATCCCAAATATTCTAAAGGATGTCTCTGCACAATGAAAACCCTACAAATTTCACCACCAACCCAGACAAAAGTTGGTAAAATAGAAACCAACAAAATAGCAGGGCAATCTAGGCCACAATATAATTTTTGTCTGCAGTTTAACACTGCTTACAGTGTATGATTAGACATATCACTCACTGAAATGTGCCAGAAACTGCCAGCTTGCTTTTGATTCCAAGAACTCTTGTTTAAGTACAAAGTATTTTAAGAAAAAAAAAAAAAAGGGGGAGGGAGAGGAAACAGTTTCATTCAAAGTAGGAATTTCCCCCAAATCATATAATAATAAGCATCTTTAGGCACAAAGTTTAGATTCTAAATGAGGCAAGGTATATTCTTCACTGTATGAATAAATATCACCTTAAGTAACATGAGAAAAGGCTGACATGAATCCAAGTGGGCTTGGACCCAAATCCAAGAACATTATGTTCTACAACGATGGGAATATATATGGGGCAAAAATCTAACAAGAGTTAAAAATATCCTGGGAAGTACACTAGAGTTCCAAATAGTTATCTATCTTCAGGTGGGGATAGAACTGGGGAGTTTTACTTGAAGAAGCTTGCTGTGAGAGAGTTTAATATCAGGAAGAAAATAAATCTTCCTCCAACTCTATTAACATAAAAAAAAGTAAAGTTTAGATTTCTTGGAATATACCCAAGTATGTACTGTTCTAACAAATGAACCTCTACTTTCTTCTTCTATAAAACTTTTTACAGGGACATTTTTTCTCCCATCTTCACGTGGCTTTTTTTTTAAATATTTTTTTTTCTTATTTTACATATCCATCCCAATTCCCTCTCCCTCCCCATCCCATTCCCCACCCATTCCACAGGGAGGGTGATGCCTTCCAGAAGGGATCATCCAGGGACATCTTCTTGATCTTCAGTAACAACTTAATCAGTATTTAATCTCTCTCTTCCTCACCTTACTCTCTAGCAAGGCAGCTAGCTTCCACTACACACACACACACACACACACACACACACACACACACACACACACACACACAAAGAAAACATTGTGACTGACCTTGAATAGTAGCCAGTGTACTATTGCTCATTAGGGCTGGGCTGAGAGCACCGCCCAGAGTTCCCGGATTGAGACTGAGTAAGGCACCTCTGCAAGTACAAAAGGGGAGTCAGTCCACTGCTGTGCAGAAACACTTGTCAGTTTGACAACATACCCAAATAATAATAATAATAATAATAATAATAATAATAATAATAATATCAAAGATAATGAAACTGGTACAAATATAAAAATTTTATTCAGCTGAAAAGTTTTTCTTTTTGGAAATCTGCAGGTTAATGGACCAGAATGATAAAGGCCGAATGCTCTCTTTCATGTGACGAATCTTTAGCTTATGTTTAACTTGGAGTAACTGTAGGGCAGAAAGCCTAAGAGGGGAGGACAAGAGGTCTTAATGGGGTAGGAGATATGTGTGTGGTATGAAAAGAAGAGAGAATTACAGAGATTAAAAGTTTAAGCAGAGGAGGAAGGAAGGTCAACAAAAACTAAGGATGTATGAAGAAAAGCCTGTGTGTAAGCTAATTAAAATATATGACAAAAAAAAAAAAAAAAAAAAAAAAAAAAAAACAGAACAAAAACAAAAAAGCTAGGCACTGGTGGGACAGGCCTTTAATTCCAGCACCTGGGAGGCAGAGACAGGTAGATCTTAGGGAGTTCAAGGCCAGCCTGAAGTTCCAGAACAGCCAGGCTGTTATACAGGTATGGTGGTTAGGTTACTTGAACAAGATCAAGCCAGTCAAATTACAGTGTGGATGGGGAAGGACTCAAGAGGCCCCAACCCTAGTTGAGGAGCTATTGGCAATTGATAACTGCTGGAGGAGGGAGAATTATTTTTCTTCAGGAGATCTTACATTGTTAGGTTACTTATGCTCCAGTGGATGACTCTACACTCAAAAGCATATAGGCAGCACTAATTAGATTGGCTCCTTGAAGGAAAATAAAAGACATGAGACATGAAGGTAGGTGTGTGTGTGTGTGTGTGTGTGTGTGTGTGTGAGAGAGAGAGAGAGAGAGAGAGAGACAGACAGACAGAGAGGGGAGAGGGAGGGAGAAAGAGTGGTAGAGAGTTCAGGGCAGTTTGGGAAGAGAGGGGATCGAATAAAAACTGTATGAAAAATATATAAAACCAGACATGGCCTTATTCCCAATTATCCATTTTTGAGGATTAGAAAGTAAAGTAGGTATACTACACTTCAATGAAGAAAACTTAAGAGTAAGGAGAATTCTGAGTTTTCTTCCTGGCTCTTATCACTGAGTTACTCACTGAGTTCTGTGTTCTCATGTGGAAATGGTAGTATGACTACTTAGAAACTTAAGTTCACATCTATCATCAAAGTGGCCCATCTCAGGTTTGCTTTTCATTTAAGACAGTGATGAAAAATTTTCCCTATGAGCTGCAGTGATGAGTTCCTAGTTGTATGTGGTGATTTGAAAGAAAATGGCCCCGCCCAATGGGAGTGGCACTATTGGGAGGTGTGGTTTTATAAGAGGAGGATGGGAGACCTCCCTTGTTCAAGCCATGCCCAGTGGGGTACACAGTTCACTTCTTGTTGACTGTGGATCCAGATGTAGAACTCTCAGCTTCTTCCCTAGCACCATGCCTGCCTACATGTCACCATGTTACCCACTAAGATGTTAATAGACTAAATCTTTAAAACTGTTAGCTACTCTCAATCACAAAATTTCCATTATAAATGCTGTTGTGGTAATGATGTCTTGCCACAGCAATTGGAGCACTAACTAAGAGATTCTGTTTTGGATGCAAATAGAATGGGAAAGCTTCTTACCCAGCAGCAAACTGTGAGGGTGCCATTAGGCCTGGGTTGAGTCCTGCAGCAGCAGCCATAGCAGCAAGACTGGCATTTGCTGGCAACTGTGCAGCTCCTTGGAGAGCAGCAGCAGCTGCTGTTTGTAAGCCAGATGCTGTTACCATCACCTGGCTGGCCCCGAGAGGGGAGGGAAGAGGTGTGGAGGTGGTCTGTGTTGTGCTGGTCTCACTGGCACTAGAACCCTCAGAGGTGGAGGCTGAGGCAGATGGGGAAGGACTCAAGGAGGGGGAAGTGACTGCTGAGGGAGCAGGGGGTGCTGTAGAAATCACAGTGGCTGTGTTGTTGGATGTAGTGTCTGTAGTGCCTGAAAAGAGAAACACATTAAGAAATGACCATCTGTAAATGGGTTTGGAAAACCTGTCATTTCATTCAGTATCTAGAATCAAAGAGATGAATAACCTACTCTCCACTGATCCTTAATGCTCTTTTTCATTAACCAAGTTTAGCAGTTCTACAGACATTATTATTAATAAAAATAATAAACTGTTTTAAAGCCAAAGCAATAACACAACTCTCAAAGAAACTAGTTATTTCCTCCAGCATTGGTTTTTTGTTTTTTAAAAAAGGAACTGACAGGCTGGAGCCATGGCTTGGTGGGTAAGAGCACTGGCTGCTCTTGCAAAGACCCAGGTTTGATTCCCAATGCTAACATGGAAGCACACAACCATCTGTAAGTCTAGTTTCAGGGATCTGATGCCCTTTTCTGGCCTCCATGGACATGAGACACAATTAGTCCAGTGTGGGTATTAAGTCTACCCTGCTTTATTATTTCTTCCAAAAATCTATGGACCAAGCCCTGCCCTGTGCACTCGCTGCTGTGGTAAAACAGTCTGGTAGGGTTGACTTCTCGAATCCACATGCATTTGCATCAGCACACACACACACACACACACACACACACACACACACACACAAACATACACGTACAAGGGTTTAGTTTCAGCAACCAATTAGTCTTCTATACACATTCTGCATACATTATTTTCTTAATATTATTTTGGAACCACTTTCTTAGAGTACATAAAATACACAGGATTCCAAATGTTGGTTTCATATCACACAACAATAAGACAATGTGAGTAAGGACAGTTTAATCTCTCCCCTTACTAAACTGGGTGTTAGAATGTTAATGTGAAATGTCAATTAAAAGATGAGGGGACAAAGTCCTTGGCAGAAGTGGTTAGTCTTTGGCCATTTAAAGATGCTTTTTGCTGTGGGTTTTGAGTAGCTGCTCTTGATATGGGAAAGCAGCTCCTTCTGTTTCAGGTCAAAAGCTTTTTTTTTTTTTAATCACAAATGGGTTTCTATTTGTTAAATACCTTTTATCCAGCTATCCAGGTTTTATCTCAATTTATAATTCTATTGTGCAATGTTAATTGGTGTTCAGATATTAAACTGACTATATGACCTTGGGGTAAATCCCTCCCCACCCCCATCACAATGAATAATTTTTTTATGTTGTCAGTTTTGATTTGTAAAGATTTTCTTTTCCTTCCTCTTTCCCTCCCTCCCTTTCTCATTACAACTGATGATTTTGCATATTTCTTTGAATGTAAAAAACTATTACTACTGAAGGTTCGTAAAGAAAGGAATCACTTCAATAAGGAATGTTTAAAAAAATAAGTTTGAAAACAACTTAGTAGTAGATGGACTAAAAGAACAGTTTTTTTAATGTTTTTTTTTTTTTTGGGGGGGGCACATCTTTAATTCCAGCATTCAGGAGGTAGAAGCAGGTAGGATCTGAATTTAAGAACAGACTGAACTACAAAGTAAGTTCGAGGACAGCCAGGACCTGGTCTTTAAAAAAAAAAAAAAAAGCCCTACTCAAGTTCATATTAACACACATACAGAACTATATCATATGTGTTTGCTATGTATGGAGGAAGGTATCTGTGGAGGCCTGAAATTGATGCTTAGTGCTCCTCCTAGGTTGTTCTCTACTTTATTTACTAGGGCAGAGTCTCTTACTCAATCTGGAACATTTGTGTAGCCTTCCAATCAGCTTGTTATGGGGGACCCCTTTCCCATTACCCCAGCACTGGGATCATGGATGGGCTACTAAGCTCACTTGACTTTTAAGTGTACACTTTGTATCTGAACTCTAGTGTTCATGATTATGCTTACTGAGCAGTCCCCTAGTTTTGCGATATACTGTTTGTGTTCTGACAAATAAAGCTTGCCTGGAGACCAGAGAGTGGAACTAGCCACTAGTTAACCATAGAAGTCTGGAGGTCTGTAAGAGAGGAGATAGGAACTTGACAACATGAGGTACAGACAGGATCACTTCCCTTTTGGATTGAGGATTCAGAAAGGTAAGAGGTGACCATGATTTCTGCTTTGCTTCTCTGACACTTCAGCTTTTACCTTGATATCTGACTAACTAGGATCACACTTTAGCCTAGATCCCTAAAAATATACTTTTTAAAAAAGCAATCCATTACTTAAGGTAGCACCTTCATGATTTAGCAGGTCTTCTGCTTAACAGCTAGCAAACTGGTTGTTGCTTACCTGTAAGAGAGAGATTAGTCACTGCAGCACTGGTTAAGGGAAGGACAGGGTTGACTGTGAGGGTTGTTGCTGTACTGCTTGTCACAAGGCTTGGAGTGGTTGCCACCTAGAGGTCAGACAAAAAAAAAAAAAATGCATAACACATAATCAACTTGAATGGCCCTTAAATTTGAACAATGTTGAGTGAGACAGACTCCAAATCAGCTAGAAGTAGTAGAACTGTCAAAATTACCTAAACAAGAGAATTATCTGATAGCATCAGTGCTTACATTGTTTTTGCTTTTGATTCCGTGGACCCATGATTGTCTTGACTTTATTTTTAATTACAGAATGTGAAATAGACGCTTTGGTTCTTTTCCCAGCTCTGTGTAGCTCTTGCTGTCTTGGAACTTACTCTGTAAGACTAGACTGGCCTTGAACTCCAAAATCTGCCTCCCTCTGCCTCCTAAGTGCTGGGATTAAAGGCATGGGCCACTACTTACCTCCTGACTTTTTCTTTTTAAAGACAATTTCATGGTGGGGTGTTGTGGTGCCTGTTTTTAATTCCAGCACTCCAGAGGCAGTGGCAGGCAGATCTCTGACTTCTAGGGCTACACAGTGAAACCCTGTCTCAAGAAACAAACTCTTCATTATGTTGCTGTGAGTTAATCCTTCTGTAATCAGTAATTATGTTTCATTCTCATTGGTTAATAAAGAAGCTGCTTTGGCCTATAACCAAGCAGAATAAGAGTAGACAGGAAAGCCAAACAGAGATACAGGGAGAAAGAAGGGCAGAGTCAAGAGAGATTCTAGGTAGCCACCAGAGGAACAAGACATGCTAGAGAACAGGTAAGGCCACAAAACCACATGGCAAAATGTAGATTAAGAGTTAGTAATAAGCCTGAACTTAGGCTGAGCATTCTGTAATTAATAAAGTTTCTGTCTGTGTATATGGAACTGGGTGGTTGGGACAAAAGAAAAGTTCGGCCTCTGCTTCTATTGTATAACTGTGGTTGGCCTAGAACTCACTGTGTTGACCAGGCTGGCCTTCAATACAGAGATCTGTCTTCTTCCTCCTGAGATTAAAGGTGTGCACTGTTACTGGGGATAGACAAAGTATAGGTCCAAGAGGAGAACCTATGTTACTCTCTGCTAAATGGACATAGTATTAATCTAGCTCCTAAAGATTTATCACTACAGGTTAGTGTGGTGGTATATTATTTATGATTTATTAAAGCTTCTCTGAGGATTCAGAAAGCAAAATCAGTCACAAGCCTTAGAGCCAGGTACACACTTTTAATCCCAGGATTTAGGATTAAGAGGCAAACAGATCTCTTGTTAATTCAAGGCCACACTGAGCTATACAAAATTGATCCAGTCCTAAAGAGAAACAGGCCATACAAAGATGACCTCGGCACTTGGGACCACGTGCCTTTAATCCCAGGACTCATGAGAGGTATTTAAGACAGGAACAGGGCCACATTGAAGAGAGGAAGATACTGAAGTTTCTAGCCACAATGAGGACACACAGAGTGAATCAGAGGAGCAGTGAAATCAGGAGCAGTTTGAAGATCACCCCTTTGGTCTGAGCTGAGGTAGAGCTAGTAGCTAGCTGCTTTGCTTGTCTGATCTTCAGCTTGAAGCTTAAACCCCAGAATCTACCTCTGTGTTTTTTATTTTATGTGTTACAGATGAGTGCACCTCTCTTTATCAGAGAAGCTCCTTTTAGAACTAGATGGAGATGAACACAGAGGCTCATGCTGTACACATAATACAATATAATAAGGAATGCTTGGCCCTAAAAGGGACAACTAGGCAGGCAGAGGTGGTGAACACCTTTAACCCCAGCACTCAGAAGGCAGAGGCAGGCAGATCTGAGTTTGAGGTCAGCCTAGTCTACAGAGTGAGTTTCAGGACAGCCAGGGCTACACAGAGAAACCCTGTCTTGAAAAACCAAAATACAAAAAGGGGGGGGGGGGGACCATACATCTACATCACACCCACCCTTCTTAAGGCTTAGGGATCATTGCAAAAGGGAGGGAGGAAAGATTCTAAGAGCCAGGGAAGGTGGGTAATTACAGAGAAATTGTTTTCTTGACCCAAATTCACAGCAGTTATGATAGCAGGCACAAGACCACAGACAAAATCCCAGCTTGAAGCAAGGAGGTGGGCATGAACTCCAATTCTTACCTGTGGAACTATTGGCACCTGACAGCTGTTGGGAGCAGAAGGTTTTTGTTTTTGTTTTTTTGTTTTTTTTTTTTTTTTGTTTTTTTTTTTTTTTTTTTTTTTTTTTTTTTTGTGGCCACTGGTAAAATCAATCACACTCTAGTGGATGATCATACATCTAAGAATACATGGGGGCAGCACAACTTGCACATTAAAAAAAAGTGACACTGGGTGTGTATGGTTGGAGTTGCAGGAGTTGGGGAAGGGGAAAACACAACCAAATATACTGGAATTCTCAAAGAACTAATTAAAATGAAAAACAAGGATGTGTTTATACCACCATGCCTAGCTATAGTGAAGCAGATTCTCTCCCTTGCTCTCTCTCTCTCTCTCTCTCTCTCTCTCTCTCTCTCTCTCTCTCTCTCTCTCTCTCTCTCTGCTACAGGGTTTTTCTGTGTAGCCCTGGCTGTCCTGCAACTTACTCTGTAGACCAGGCTGTCCTAAAAAAAATCAGAGACCTGTCTGGAATAAAAAGTGTGTGCCACCCCCACCTAGCTGAGGAACAGATTTTAAAAACAACTTTTTCTTACTGAAAAATTTTAAGTATCTTACCATTTTGTGAGAAACTGCTTTCTTCCTATGTAGCTAAGCCTGAAAACAATAGTCACTCACACAAAACTGTTATCTAATGACTATGATTTTTGTAAAAACTACATCTTACATCATATTTATGATTAAAACCTTACCATTTAATAACTCACAACTTCCACTTAATAAATAATGTTGACCTTATTTTTAAAAACCCTGTGGAGCTAAGTGTGATATCACATCCCTTTAATTCTAGCACCTGGGGAGCAGAGGCAGGCAGATCTCTTTGAGTTCTGAGCTAGTCTGGGTGTACATAGTGAGTTTCACATCAACCAAGGATAAATAGAGAAACCCTGTCTCAAAAACCCAAGGTGGAATATGTAGCATGAAATAATATTAAAATAAAAGCAGATTAACAAGAACAAAAGAAACAGAAACGAAGACCCAACAATTTGTGCATTTTCTGAAGCCTGACTGGCATCATCTGGCAGTGATCTACAATTATCCTAAAAGGAAAAAAAGTAAATGAGGGAGTCCCATGATCATGGCATGTCTCTTCCATTCAGGAAATTGTCTAATGCAAATGGAAGAGTGACTCAATAAGGTTCTACCAGCAATGGCAACATACTGTCAGAGAGTGAATATTTGTGATCACTATTAATACCTGGGAATTTACTGTCAATTAATCATATATGAATTTACTAAAATGGGCTGCAGGACTGAACGGGAAGGAACATTTTTTTTTTTCCCAGGTAACTGTAAATCAGGAGCAAATCTATCCTTACAATTGCAGTGTAACCTTTTTAGCTAAAAAAAAAAAAAAAAAAAAAAAAAAAAAATTACAAAGAAGCAGAAAAGAATTCAAATTATTTACTTCCAAAAACAAAGGAAACCATTAAGTTCTTGGATTCACAATGAGAAATTTCATTATTTTGGAATATTTAAAGTAGACATTTTATATATTTATTCAACATGCACCCTACAGACACATACATACAAGGTTTGAATAATAGGTTCCCATAGGTTCCTATGTTTGAATCCTTGGTCCCCAGTTGGTGGAACTATGTTGGGAAGGATTAGGAGGTATGGCCAACCTTGTTAGAGGTGTCACTGGGGTGAGCTTTGAGGATTCCACTAGAAGTCTCTTTATCTACTTCCTTCCCTGAGTATCAGAATGTAAGCTCTTTGTTGTTGCTACATTCCATCATCATGGACCCACCCTCGGGAATGGTAAACTAAAATTAAATGCTTTCTTTTATAAGTTACAATGGTCATTCACGGTATCTTATCACAATAACAGAAAAGTAATAGACAACTGTTATGGAAATGAATGGACTTAACAGGCCACTGTAAAACTAAAACTTAGTCCTTGAAGAGCTTGTCTCTTCCACATCTGTTCTTACCAGTGAGGTTGGGCTGGGGAAAATTGCTTTGATAGGTGAGCTGCTGGTCCCACCACTGCTTGGTGGGTTAATTCTTTTCTCCTTCTGGCGGCGGTTACAAAACCAAACACGGATCACCTCCTTTTCCATATTGAGCTGTTCAGCAATCAAGGTGATATCTTCCGAGGTAGGCTTTTGATTCTAAGAAAGGGGGAAAAGTCCATATTTTAGAATTTCAGTTATATATTTGCCATGTTGGAGACAGAATCCAGGGACACGCATTTGAATTATATCCCAGGCCTGCAATTTTTTTTTTTTTTTTTTTTGAGACAAGAGTTTCTCTGTGTAGCCCTGGCTGTCCTGGTCTCTCTGTAGACCGGGGTGGGTTTGACCTCAGAGATCCACCTGCTTCTGCCTCTCCAGTGATAGATTAAAGGTATGCCTTGTTATTTTTTAAAGGTTATCCGTGTGAGTGTTCTGCCTGCATTTTTGTATAGTGATCTTAGAGGCCAGAAGACAGTGCTGAATCTCCTAGAGCTGAATGACAGATGGTTGTGGAGCTGCCATGTGGATGTTGGAAATCAAACCTGGGTGACCTCAGGTGCTGGGATTAAAATGCCTCATGCCTGGCTTAGGTCTACTAATCTTAATGTTAAAAAAAGAATACAAACATAATTATTAGTAATGTGTGAGTTTCTCAGTGCTTTATGCATATGACCAAACACAGACCTCATACTTCTGAGGCAGGAAAGGAAGCCAATTTCATAGTGTAACAACTTAATCTTAAAATCAAGTGAAGTGCCCCAATACACCTTTAACAAGAGGCAAAGCCAATAAAGACTCCTGAATCCATGTTTCCTCAAGTAAACACAGCTCTTTTTGAATTTAGAAGTAAGAATTTTTTGTTGGAAGTTTCTTTTTTTTAAAGCCAGATATCTGTTGAATTAACTTGAACTACATAAATGGACATGTAAGGTCTCTAGTATTGTGCCCCTAATATGCCATTCTAGGCATTAAAGGCACTAAAGGTCAGCCAAGCAAAGCACAAGTGTTTATTCTGGAACAGGTATGGTTTCCTCTGGAGTCCTATGCTCATGAAATTGTTCTGCCTGAGGTACTTTTCTCCCACCTTTTCCAGTCTGTAGGATTAATTCTGATGCTCCATACCAAATGCTCACACAATGAGAGCCAAGGTCTCTCGAGTCCTGCAGTATTCAAGTGTTCATATTATAGTATCTTACTTCCTCCATGTTAAAATGCCCATCAGGGTAGAGGGAAAAAAAGGTTAAGTTCTGCCATCTACTGACAGTCCCTAACAGTAGCACTGGTGGCAACCAGATGTACCCAAAAAGTAAACCTCACTGACCTCCATGAAACTCTTCTCTAAGGCCACACGGATGTTGGTCTCTATGCTGGTGCGTTTTTTCCTCCTACGATTCAAGCCCTCAGCCCCCAACCCTGGAGAATTCAGGGCACTTGGGCTAGATGCGGTAGAATCAGATGAGAGGTTCTCTATAAGAGTGAAGAAAATACAGAGGAAAAAAAGTTGAGTTTAAGTATACATATGTACAGAATCCATATGAAAACTGGCAAAATATTTAAAGGTTGATGTGTGAGATTTTTAATGTAATCTACACAGGTACATTGTTCACTACCATCAATTTTCTACTGTCCTTATTAGCATTCTTTGTCCCAAGATTATTTGTTTGTTTCTGAGGATATTTTTCACTTACATTTCCCTTAGTTCTGTTCTTTTGCTTGTTTATAGGCTCTGAGGACAAAAAGGAAGAATCACTGGCAATCACTGGATGTTTACTGTTTTAATTTAGAGATGATTTCTCAGTTTCTTGGCATAATAGTAGGGAAAGGGTACTTCTAACTTCTTTAAGGACAGGATGGTATTCTTTCTCAACAGCTGAACAAGGGAGCACATTACAGTGGATTTCTTTCTACTCAATGTGATCAGTGGTTCTTGCCTGTGACTGCAAAAAAAGACAATATAGCTAAATTTCACCCTCAGCTACTAAATCAATATGTTAGAGGTGTGGGTGTCTTAAGGTCTTCTTTTCCAAAGGCCTAATTTTTGTTTCTATCCACAATGGAAACAAGATGGTTAGGTGTCTGGTTTTTTTTTTAGCTCTCAAAGTCTTTGAATTGGGGATTCAAAATTCAAAAATTCCAAAGGGATATTTCAAAATAAAATAAATAATTCAAGACCAGAAGCCTAACTTTTTTCTATGAAATAGGTGGCCAGTTTTAACAAAAATATTACCAGGAACAAATTCTAAGGCAATCTATCAAGGAAGGAATAATCTGTCTGCTCTTCAAGATTATATACACAGGCCTTCTTATGGCCATGCTTCAAACACCATATGTCCATCCCTAACCCTGGCTCAAACACAGAAACATTCTAAGGCTACAATTATTGCTGGTTATTTATACTGTAATTACTGGAATATTAAGATGAAGTATCTGTTTCTGATTTACATAATCATAATTTATAGAGTCTTACAGGATTAGAGGCTCCAACATTCTGTTTTATCAACAATATAGCAAGACCTCAGTTCACAGAATAATCCTTCCTGTAAAATCCCATGGACAATGATGACATTACTTGGCATAGTCACTTACCTGCATCATTTAGCCACTTCTCTAAAAGTGGCTTTAACTTGCACATGTTCTTAAAGCTGAGGTTCAAGGCTTCAAAGCGAGAAATGGTGGTTTGGCTGAAGTCATTTCCATATAATTTCCCCATAGCGAGCCCAACATCACCCTGAATAACACAAAACAGCAAAGAGGGAGAGAAAGAGATTCATGTCACTAATGTTTCCAACCTCTACTCTGAAAGGCTACTCTATTAACTGCTGCTCCACAGAAATAACTGACCATCTTCTATTTACTACATTTCCCACCAACTTTATCCACGAAGATCAGCCTAGGACTGTAGGAAGAGCTTAGCAGGGAAGCAATCATAGAAGGCTTCAATATTACTCCATGTGCTTTCTACTTTGAGTCTCTTCTTGTTATCTTATACAACTAAAATCACTATACCAACACTTCTAAGTCTTCAAAATTCTGATATACTAATGCCCCTCCATTAATACACCAAAATGATCTGAGAATCCTTTAAAATCTATCTGTATCACTTGTAGATAGATATTAGATGTTTAGAGAGCCCAGCAAGTCATTCTTATTTTTGCATATTCATTTATTTATTTACTTACTTATTAAATGTATATGTGGGCCCAAGAGGTCAAAGGACAACTTGAGAGAGTTGGCTCTCTCCTTCTACCATGTAGGACCTGGGGATCGAGCCCAGATCACAGGCTTAGTGGCAAGTGCCCCTAAACCAGGATTTTTAAACCAACCAAATTCTACACAAATCACTTTAAAATTTAGAAGTGACCCTTCATTCTTTATAGTTTTTCTCATAAGTATTTCAAGAGGCTACAAAAAAAAAAAAAAAAAAAAAAAAAAATCACCCTTGGTTTAGATTTCAAAGTTGGTCACAAAACCGAGTATTTTTAAAAGACCACGTTTGTAGTCATTATAGAGATAGAAATTCACAGTAGAGAGGTTTGACCCATTTAGTCAAACCTTCATGGGCACTGGAAACTTGGTAACCTTATTGAAACAGAACAATGATCCTCTGAATATATTACAAAAAAATGTCTTTCTCCATGAGCCTATCATCTTTGAAATATACACAGTGCTTTTCTTCCAGCTGGATCTCTCTTGTTCTAGTATGAAGACAATGTATCTTAATAGATATTTATAGGTAATAGGAGGAGCTCATGGAGTTTAAGTGGCTCACATGCCCATTTCAACTAGATTAGTGACAGGGCAGAGAAGTACAGCATTTCTCACTCAAAATATGCAAAGCTAACTCAGTGAGAGAAGAAACTCTCAACAAACCTGGCAACATTGTTTTTAATTATCTTTTTAGATTTTTTATTTATTTTATGTGTATGAATATTTTGCCGTATGAATGTATATATAACATATGTGCAATGCCCACAGATGTCAGAAGAGAGCATCACATCCCCTGGAACTAGAATTATAGGAACATTGGGAGCTCACATAAAGAAGCTGGGAACTGAACCAGATCCTCTGCAAGACCAGCAAGAGCTCTTAACCAATAAGCAATCTCTCCAGCCCCAATCTGTTGAGGACAGGAATGGATTTGAATTTGTGATCTTCCAGTCCCAGTTTCTCAAGTGCCAGGATTATGCCCAGCTTTTAGGAACACGATTTAGTTGGGATTACCTGAGTTTTTTGAGATTAGATTGTCTATTATACGTGGGGTCAAGGAAAAGATGTATTTAAAAGCCTATAAGTATGGTTTCATTTATTTTAATTTATTAGTATTACTATTTAAATAGAAGTTTCATGTATCCTACCTAGAAACACAAAATGTACAGTTTGAGGAAATTTAATGTTGGAGCCAAGGTTTGTGATGAAAGAGATAAGGGAAAATGGAATAAAGGGAGTGCCCTTACAGTAAGACCCCACCTAGCTAACTCTGTAACTTGATGAGGGTTGTCCTTCTGTATGTTTCTCTTATTGGTTGATGAATAAAACAGATTGGCCAGGCAGGAAGATAGGCAGGGTTAGGAGATGAGAAGAATTCTGGGAAATGCAGGCAGATAGAGTTGTCATGTAGATCCCAGGAAGAGAGGACGTGCAAGGCATTCACTGGTAAAATAAGACCATGTGGAAATACTTAAGATTAATAGAAATGGGTTATTAAGACAGAGCTAGCCAATAAGAAGCCCTAGTCATCGGCTAACAGTTTTATAACTAATAGAGTCCCTGTGTTTATCTGGGGCTCAAGGGACTCTGGACCAGCCAGGATAGAAAGCTCATGTTACAGTAACTTGTGAAAACAAAAAGACTAAGGAATTAATCTGCTCCTAAAGAGTAACAACAAATCAAAGCTTATGTTAACGTAATTCCACATTCCAGCCCAAGCTGGCAGAAGAACTTAACTTGGTATGTGGTTCTTGCTTTAGAGTAAAAAAAAAAAAAAAAAAAAAAAAAAAAAAAAAAAAGATACAGGAGTAAAAGGGTTGTAGAATTAACCTTCAAGATGAAGGAAAGCCACTGAGGCCAGGTATGTGACAGGGGAGTCCCTGAATGGGGTCCTAAGAGGCCACTGCATGAAGCTGTGGAAGTGAAGCCTGAATAATGTTAGAGACCCCAAGATGTTGGACAGGCCAGAGTCATGAGATGTCTACCCAGGAGAGCTGCACACAGAGTAGATGGCAGATGCATCTGTGCATGGGTGCACCATGTGGTTCTGGGACCAAGCTCAAATCATCAGGATTGGTGGCAAGCACCCACCCCTTAACTTGTTTCTTTATATCTGAAACTCCTCAAAAACATAACCTCATTTCATGTAAAGTTATGTTTTAAATTCCTAATATGTAGTTCTTTGAGCAAAAATAAGTCTTCAAATACAAGGAATAAAAAAAAAAAATTAATTTCAGAGCTAGATCTAGAATACAGCAGACAGTGACATCAGCTTGATTTTGATCTCCCAGAGCAGGTGGTGCATTATGTACTCTCTACACAACCTAATTTGGAAAGCATGTGAATGAAAGCTTTTCTGGAAAGAGAACATCAGAGTTTTCCCTGATTCTATAAATATACAACTCAATCCATACTTCAAGATTTTTTTTTCTTTCAGCTAATGATATCTAGCCATTTTATATAAACACAAGTTTAATTCCTTTCCTGCTTTCAAAGCATTGCTTCAGATAGGGCAATCAGAAGTATAGTGGAAACACTAAGAAAAATGCTGTGTACCCAATGTTTGTTTAAACCATTAAGCATACTCATTTCACTTTTCAAGCCCTCTTCTAATTGACATTAAAAGATTTGAATTTTGATTGATTTACTTTAAAAAAAAAATCTTAAATAGATTCTTACTTGACTAATCACACTGTAGGTTGAGAAAAAGGAGGGGAAACACTCTATCCCCAAACTAGCTTTAAATACATCTTTCAAAAGGCTTGGATATTTATTCTTTCCACTTTACATATATAATAGTGTAAGCTCTATCACTACGTGTTCTTTAACATGGAAGAACCCTTAGAACAGTCAGTTCACTAAAACACACATTTTACTGATACAATTTCAGAAGCCAGTGTTGTGAAACATACTTCAAAATTCTGAACCTAGCAACAATGTCAGAAATAAATGTATGAACCTAACAACCAAACACACAATATTCTAAAATTGTAAATGCTAAACCCAAAATCAGTATGACTGAGAATCACCCTGCCTGCTCTTTAGAAAGTATTCACAGCTAGCCAGGAAAGGGTATGTAAGAGAGCTCTGTAATGGTTAACTTGGTTGTCAAACTTGACAGATCTGGAAAGAGGGAGTTTTAATTGAAAAGTTACTTCATCAGATTGGTTCTATCAATAGAGCATTTCTTGATTGCTAATTGATATAAGAGGGCACAGGACACTGTGGCAGTGCCATCCCTGGGCTGGTGGCCTGGGCAGTGAACAACAGTGGAATAAGCCAGCAGCGTTCTTCTATGCTTCTGCTTTGGTGCCAGCCCCCAGGATCCCCCGCCAACCTCCTTCATGGATGGGCTACAACTGGAAGCTGAATAATAACGCCTTTTTCTCAACAAGGTGGTTTTTGTTAGTGTTTTATCACAGCAACAGATAGTGAACTAGAACAGGTGAGGTCATCCTACCTGAGTGAATCCAAGTTTGATTCGTCTTTGTTTGAAGGTCTTGGCAAATTGCTCAAGCTCCTCAAGGTCACTGGGCTCCTCCAAGCTGGGAGTATCAATTCGCTTTGGTGTTGTCTGGCTCTGTGGAAGTGTCTGAATTGGTGTTGCTGCTATTGTGCGAGTTGGGGTGGCTGGCTGTTGGAGAACAAACAGAAAAATAAGAAACAGGCTCACAGCTGGGTGGTAGTGGTGGCTCATGCCTTTAATCCCAGCATTGAGGAGGCAGAGGTAGGAGGATCTCTGTGAGTTCAGGTCCAGCCTGGTCTTCAAAGAGAGTTCCAGGACAGGCTCCAAACCTACAGAGAAACCCTGTCTCCAAAAAAAAAAAAAAAAGACAAACCAAAAAAGAAACAGACTCACATAAGCTCACACCAGACAAAAATCCTAGCACACAGGAGAGAGGGTGGGCATAAAGTCCCAACCCCTATGTGAGGAGTTACTGGAATTTGCTACTGGCAGTGAGAAAGCCAGTTTTCCTCGATGAAGTTAACACCTGGTATATTGGCTACATTCCAGATCAGGCCCCATGCTCAGGATTAATAAACCAGTACAACATGGGCTCCATGGGATTTAAGATCAGAAAACATCAAGAAAGGGAGAAAAAGAACATGAAATTGGGTGGGTATGAGAACACAAACTTGGATGTGTTTGAGGACATGAATTTGGGTGAGTGTGGAGGTGGGGGAAGAAATGGGAGGATGAAGAATATGGTCAAAATGCATTGTATGAAATCCATTAAAAAAAAAAAAATCGAGGACAAAAAGAAGGATCCCCTTCACTTCTCTTTTTCTTCTTCTTCTTTTTCCCCCCTTTACACTCTGTAGCCCAGATTGGCCTAGAATTCACTATGTAATCTAGTACCTCAACTTCCACAGCATTTGGATTAAGGAAGTCCACCAGCAACAGCAAAAAGTTCCTTAAGATTAATTCAAGAAGGATTTTTCTAGCAACTGAATAATGCCATGCTTCTGACATCCTGTAACCCACCACACCATGCAGTTTCTGACACACAGCTTATGTTCTCAGTTTAAAACAGTGTGTTGCTTACCAGGGAGTAAATGGTACATCACCTTTGACAAAATACTTCTCTTACTACTCAAAGCAAGACACTTTCCATGTATCAGTTATTACCTGACTCAGTCTCAATCATATATTAATGTTATCTTGACTCTCACTCTTAGGTTAGCCCAGTTATTTCTTCAAATATTATGGTTATGTAAACTCTCTTCTTATCACATTAGTACAAATAATTCATTTATCTTTTAAAATTTTTTCAGTGTGTACAAACTTTAAATTTTTGTGAATTTTCTCCCACTGCTAATAAGACAGTAGCTTTGACGAGAAAAACTTTAGTTATTTCTCAGGATTGTAATCGCAACTGGTAAAAAGAGGAAAGTTCTTCTTGACATCAGCTCTGTCACCCATCACCCTACCTCTTGTGCTAAAGACTGAGCCCAGGGTTCCCTTTTTATTTTTTTAAATATTTTTATGTTTGCGCCTTAATGCATGTCTGTGCACCATATGCATGCAGCGTCTGCAGAGGCCAGAAAAGAGTTTTGACCCTCCAGGAACTGGAGCTAAAAGCCAGATGTTTTAGGAATCATACCCATGTCCTCTGGAAGGCAGCTAGAGTCCTACTACTGAACCATCTCTCCAGTGCTCTCTTCCTTTCTTTTTTAAAGAAAATATTGATTTTTCTCATCACTCAAACATCTGTTCTACTCACAAGCACTCAGTAGAGCCTTCTGAGTGTTCACTAAATAGAAGTGCTCCTGCTTCTGCATCCTAATAGCTAAGCTGAACCCTCCAATGAACAGCAGTGCAGGTGAGATTATAAATCAAGATTTTCTTCTTGAATTTAGACAGGTCCTATATTATCTGACCTTGACCTCATTAACAATGCTTTCTCAAAAGGGAACTAACTGACCCAGAAAACTACATAAGAGGCATGACATAATAATTGGGGCAAATCCCTCTGCCATCCTGCTTCAGTAAAGACAATAAAGCATGTTTCCATGATGCTGACATTGAACATTAACCTCACCTTTTGGAGGAGGTACAAATGATACCAACTACATTAGAATCTCATGTTGCTGAATACTTACCACAGTGAATATGGTTGATAGATGGAGGTGAATCTCAACTATTAGACTATACCTTCATCTTCAGTATCAAGGAGTCTCTTTGTCAAATAATAATGAACTAAAAATAGCTTGGGTACATATTGACAGCTGGGATCTTACTCTAAAATGCCTGGGTGAACTGGGCCAGATCTAGAATGGTGGTATAGCATTCAATGAGCAGAAACAGGATAAAGTTTGCTACATGTACATAGCATGTAGGCCAGAAAGAGGTCTCTACTATATATATTTTGCATTTAATATATAAAAAAACTTGCCTTTTAAAACTGCATTATCATTTGATGCTTTTGCAGTTGAATAGTTGTGTACTACTAACACAATATATAGATTATCTTTACCATCCTTACCAAATTTCTTCTGAGCCCTTTACCATCAATCTTCATTATTGTTCCTTACTTACAAGAACTGGTAGGGTTTCTAAACTTACAGTTCTGTCCTTTCTAAAATGTTATATAAGCTAAAATCACACAGTACTCAGACTTTTGAGTCTAGCTTCTGTCACTTAGCATAAGACTTCTGAAATTCATACAGGCCACTGTAGCTATCAGAAGTACAACTCTTCTTATTGCTGAATAGAAAGCTATCACATGGCTATTGAGAAGTTTATGTAACTTAGTATCTTAGGAATAGTTTGGAGTAATTATTAATTAATCTATTATAAGCATTTATATGTAGATCTTTGTGCTTTCATATTTTAAAGAGTAAAACTACTGGATTATAAAGTGCAGTTATCTCTCTGTACGTACACACACACACACACACACACACACACGATTTCTCTGTGGAGCTCTCACACACACACACACGATTTCTCTGTGGAGCTCTCTCTCTCTCTCACACACACACACACACACACACACACACACACACACACACACACGATTTCTCTGTGGAGCTCTGTAGACCAGGCCAGCATCTCCAGCTCACAGAGATTCACCTGTCTCCTCCTCATGAGTGCTGGGAATAAAGATGTTTGTTACCACTCACTGGCTTAATATTTAAGTGAATACCAAACTTATTTAGAAAATGTTAGTACATTTGAAAAACTACTAATGTATGAGAAATCTAGTTGCTTTACTTTCTCATCAATACTTGGTCTCAAATTCTTCATAACTATACCTAGTCTAGTGAACGCACATTGATATTTCCTAATAACTAATTGTTTTGAGTATATTTTTATTTGCTTATTGAGAACTTATAGTCCTTGGCAACTACTGCCCGCCTCCCCCTTCACTAGCTTAAATCTGATGGTTTCAAAGGATTCAATATGTTCTGGTTTCCTGGAAAACCTGTGCAAACATCCCCTCCAACACAAATTAAAAATAAATCTTAAAACAAAATCATTTATCAAAAGTTTTATTTGAAGACTGTTTTCTCCTTAACTATGGCTTTATTTCCCATTTGCTTATGATAAATTTTTAATTTTCCCGAAATTTATTGTTTCTTCTGTGGATAAGGCTTCTTGTGTCCTGTTTAAGTAATCACTGCCTTATCCAACGGCACAAACATTTCTCCCCTAAAGTTTAGGTTTATGACTCATTAATAGTGGTCTCCACCTCCTTTTGCTTATGAACACTCAACTCAACTGTTAGTTGTCACGTTGTAAGGAAGTTCTTTTCCCCACTGGAACCCTTTGATGCCTTTGGAAACTTAGCTGGTTATTTGCATTTCTGTTTATTGAATAGTCATCTCTTTGGCCTACATTTCTCTCTATATGCCAATACCATGTATTCATTATTATGGTTCTGTAATAATTCTTGACACCAGATTGTATCTAATTTTCTAGTTTTAATAAACTGGTTATAGGGAGCTGGAGGGAGGACTTAGTGGTTAACTGCAAATAAGTGGTTACTGGAGCTATGAATCAAAATAAACCTCTATCTTTTAAATTATTTTTCTCAGATATGTCACAGTGGCCAAAATAAAACAACAACAAAAACCCAATAACCAAAAACTCCCAAACTGACCAAGATTAATAATAATAATAAGTGAATATTTAAGACTGTAAAATTAGGTAATATATTAAGTTTTAATTACATTTTTTGTGTATCATGTGTGGATACATTACATGCATGTACATGTGCATATGGAGGGCAGAATTTTATATAGGGAATCTATCTTCCTGGATCACTCTCCACCCAGAGCTCGCCAAAATGCTAGTTTCAAAAGTCAGGTTACTTAGGAGATCCCCTGATTGAAACTACATGTGAGCCACCATGCTGACCCACCATGCACTTATGTGGTTTTTAGGATCTGAACTCTATTCCTTTTCTTTGCCTGGCAAAAACCACTGAGCCATTAATTTCTTCTCCCCCAACTTCTACACTTTAGAAAAAGAGTCAGATGGGAAAAGGAGATTCACAGTCAGCCAATAAAGATGAGGAGAATGAAAAGCACAGAGGCAAGCTGACAAGCATGGTCACAATCACCACTAGATAAAAAGACAAACATACAACTTAAACTTGAAGATACCTAAGAACTGTGCTTTTTATGTGATTGTGATTATTATGTCTTCGGAGGGAATGACACAAAGCAACACGGAAGTACTGAGGAAATATAGAATTCAAGCTCCTTCACCATTTTAGCAAGGGCAAAGGACTAATGACACATTTTGACTCAATTCCTGGGTCTTCCATTTCAGTGTTCCTACCTATCAACACGAGACAGCTAGAATTCATTCCCAATTAACATGGCTATTCTTTATGAACTAACTTATTAAAAGATCAACTTGGCAGCACTCCATTATCAAGATAATAAGCCCAGCATTGAGTTCTGGTCAGCTTCTGAACTCCTGAGATTGATTTTATTGGGGGTGTTTGTTTCATTTTTAAATTAATAAAAACAATGGTGTGAGAAAACTGACCTGGGAGGTGAGGGTGATGCTTGGCTGTGGCTGTAGGAGGTTGGCTTGGCTTTGTTGAGGTAGTTGTGTTAAAAGATTTTGCGCTTGCAGGAGACCTGTGAAAAGTAAATATTTCAGGGGGATAAAAAAGAATATAAACTCAAAGTTTCCAACTGGTTTTCTGGTTGTTTTGTTGGTCTTCAGATTAACATCTAATTTCTTGGCCTAAAGGGAATCATGTTAATCGCGAAATGGCATGAAAATATGTAACATTAAACCAAACCTTTTATGTCCTTAGTGTAATCTGAATAAATTCTTTGAAAGGACATTATTTCCTAAAAAGAAGAACATGAGGAACTACTCTAAAGGAAATTTAAAGATAAGTTCAACTTCTTAACCCAGAATTAACACTGTGGTTCTCAACCTCCCTAATGCATTGACCCTTTGACAGGGTTCTTACATTGTGGTAACCCCAAACTTTGTTTATTCTCATTGCTATTTCATTACTGTAATTTTCCTACTGTTATGAATCACAATGTAAATATCTGGTATGCAGGATATCTGATATTCCACCCCTGTAAAAGAGTCTTCTGACCCCCAACGGGTGTTGACGTAGAGAAATGCTGCTTTAAGGAATCTTGGAACAGGGACTAGGTTTCTGAAAGAAGCAGGCAATCCTGTAAGTGGGAGAATATGCTGTTTTCAAGTTCTTAGCACATGACCCTTTGGTGACAATAAAAGTGACATGTAAACAACCATTTGCACTAAACAATCTCAGTTTAAAAGTTATTGGTAAGTGAAAAGTTTCTGTATCCTAGCAGTGGATTTCTCTGCCGGATGCAATAAAGCAGATCAGACAAATTAATAAGTGCAGGTTTAATCTGAGCAAAACATTGCCAGGTGGTCCCAAGAAAGAGAAGCCACCAGGGCAAACCACGAGGAAGTCTGTGGGTCAGACTAAATACCCTCCCAAGGTGGAGCTGCTGCATGGCAGAGTCTGAAGAGGGCACCTCTAGGGGAGATCCCCAACAATAACTAAAATGGGTGTAAAGGTGCATGCCCATAGTCCCAGCTACTCTGGAGGCGGGGGCAGGGGATCACTTGAGCCCCCATAGTTAGAGGCCAGGCCGGACAACATAATTAGAATTTGTTTGGAACCCCTGAAGGTATTTGTAGTACATCTCAGTCAATTATTTAAGTCTATACATTTTTGTGTGTGTGGGTTTTTTTTTTTTTTTTTGCAATGTTATAAATACGGTCAACCCAGAATAAATCTGCATTGAAGAACTCAATTTACTTAGTTTCAAACATAAGCATGTTGAAATACTAAATATAAGGTTGTGACAAGATAGCGGAAGTGGGAATGAGAGACAGTAAGTTATGGTGGGCTAACTTAACATATCTTTCATATATGCTTAGATACTAAACTTGGATATAGTGGAATATATAAGACAGTAAAATAATAAAAAAATTAAACCTATTAAGATTTTATCATTTGTAAGTAAACTTTGCCTAAATTTAAGAAATTAATATAGGTGTTTATTTGACAATGTAGATCCCCAATACAACAAATATACTAAATAGATATGGATTTTCCAGGGAACCCTTTTGTTTGTATCATGAAGCAACTATGCTAAAACTAATTAAATTGAATATACATAGTTAAAAGCTTCTCTTAAAAGTCAGGTTCAGAAAAAATTACTCATGCTTAAATGACTACCACGGTTCAATCTTTTAAAAAAATTTTTTTAGATCTATTTAATTATTTTATGTGTATAAGCGTCTTGCCTGCATGTATGTATGCGCAGAAGCACTTGGGACTAGAGTTATAGATGGTTGTGAGTTGCCATATAAATGTTGGCAGTTGAACCGGTTCCTCTGCAAGAAGAGCAAGAGTTAGTACTATTAACCACTGAGCCCACTCTCCAGCCCCTCTATATCTCAAGCTTGAAAGTATTTAAGGTGACCTCTTTGATTACATAACAACAGTGAGCCAGGCTTGGTGGTACATGCATATGCAGTCTCAGCATATGGGAAGCTAATGTAAAAGTTCAAGGTCCACCTGTGCTCCATAGCCAGACCTTGCCATGAAACCAAACCAAACAAAACCAACACTCCAGTAATCTGTCTTCCATTACACTTAAAAGAGAGTGTCTTGTTTAGTCCTTGGGAATCTGATCCTGTAGTGCTTGCTTTTTCTTCCTCACAGGCGTGTGTGCATAGTTTTCCTCAATCACTGTGCATTTAATTCACTGAAGAAGGATCTCTCAGCTGAACCCCAATTTCTCTGATGGACTAGTCTAGCTAAACAGCTTGTTCTGGAGATCTGGTTCCTGTTTTCCAAGCACCGGAATTGCAGGTGGAACTACAGTACTCACTCAGCATGGTCAGCATGGTAAGACCAAACAGTGAGCAGCCTCCCCAACCACTGCCTAGACTCTCATACTTCATTTTTTAACCACCTTTTCTCATCCACTGGTCTCTAGCTGCACTGGCCTTTCTTGTCTTGGCTTAGGGCAGGTTCATTCCCCTCTCAGGCTCTCTGTATTCTTCATTGCTTACAAGGACAGTCATCCAAATCCACACCAACTTATTTGCAGAGGTCTCATTCTGCAGTTCTGGATTCAGGCATCACTCTCTAGGCAAGTGTTCCTCATACCACACACCTATCTACCAAGTGTTAACTATTAACAACCAGGTCAGCCACATCTCCTGTCTTCCTTGGGTATACTGTTATCCAAGTCATTTGTTTGTTTACGACTGTCTGACTCCTAATAAGAACAGGGGGATTTCACCTTGCTGAAATTTTTAACTCCAATAATTAGAATGATATATGACACTTAGTGGTCACTCAGCAAACTGCTGAACAACTTAACTGTAATTATAGATTTTATGGGTTTGAACATACTCAAAAGTATTATCTAATGAGAAAAAAACTACATTTTATGTCAATAATCAGAATTGATCTATTAAAACTTAGAAAATAGCCTTTTGGCCGCGGCAGCCATCTTCCAGTAACTCGCCAAAATGACAAACACCAAGGGAAAGAGGAGGGGCACTCGCTACATGTTCTCTAGGCCTTTTAGGAAGCATGGAGTTGTTCCTTTGGCCACGTATATGCGAATCTACAAGAAGGGTGATATTGTAGACATCAAGGGAATGGGCACTGTTCAAAAAGGAATGCCCCACAAGTGTTACCATGGCAAGACAGGAAGAGTCTACAATGTCACTCAGCATGCCGTGGGCATCATTGTAAACAAGCAAGTTAAGGGCAAGATTCTCGCCAAGAGGATTAACGTGCGGATTGAGCACATCAAGCACTCTAAGAGCAGAGACAGCTTCCTGAAGCGGGTGAAGGAGAACGACCAGAAGAAAAAGGAAGCCAAGGAGAAGGGCACCTGGGTTCAGCTCAAGCGCCAGCCTGCTCCACCCAGAGAAGCACACTTTGTGAGGACAAACGGGAAGGAGCCTGAGCTGCTGGAGCCCATCCCATATGAATTCATGGCCTAATGTACAAAAAGAAATAAAGACCTGGACTGTAAAAAAAAAAAAAAAAACTTAGAAAATAAAAAACCAAGATTATAAAACAATGAAACAGAAAGTACAGACTCAGAAATTAACAATGCGTTTCTTTAAAGTTTAGCAGGAAAGTTGGATTTTTACTTCTCTTTGATAACATCACTTAAACAGCTGTAATCAAATTATAATACTAAGTGATTAATTGTGGTCCATAGTAGAATATTCTAAACAAATGCAAACTTACCCTCCCTCCTTGCTAGCTAGGGTCAGCTAAGATGCTGAGAGGCCTAGCACTTTTACAAGGGCCAAGACTTTCTACTGTTCCCACCCTGAATAAGAGACTCCCCAATCACAAAATTCAGGATTTTCTAACAAGAGTGTTTCTTTAATTTCAAAATTAATGTTGACAGTAGAAAAGGCAGAATACAAGTTGCTATGAAATATATCAGAAGCATATCAGTAAGAATTTTTCCAAGAAAGTCAATTCTGGGAGAATATTATTTCTCTTGTTAGTTTTTAAATAATTATATAACCACAGTGATATTGGCATTATAAACTATACTTTCAAATTCTTAGATTAACAACATTCCCTCTCTCTCAAAAAAAGAAAAAAAAAAAAGCAGAAATGATTGCTCAATTGGAGGCTAATCTCACGCTAAAAATATTTTGTTGTTGTTGTTAAAATCCAACAAATCAATCCTTGTCCTCTCTACAAAAAAACTAAAGAAGACTGAATCAGATTTTCAGTTACTATTAATCACAGTGACTCCACTGGAAATGAAGCTAATCTTACTAGATAAAATTGGGTCCTGTCCTATATGACAAAGATTACAACTCAACAGCAGTGGAACAAATTGTCTAGGTTACTTTTTATTGTGTGGTGTTGAGTGTATGTGTATATGGGTATGTGCATACACATGCTTTCAAAGGCCAGAGGGATAGGTCAGAAGTCTTTTCAATTCCTCTTTCCTTACATACAGAATCAGGGTGTCTCACCTGAAACTGACTTGGATATACGGTTTCTTGAGCCCTTCCATGATATGGGTGCTAGGGATCTGAACATGGATCCTTGTGCTTATGCAAGTGCTCTTTACTCACTGAGCATTTCCTGAGTCCCAATTAATATTGATATGATGATGTGGCAAAAATTGAGAGGTTACTACAGATAAGGGACATTTTCAGAAAGTACTTTCATTTATTTCCTAACTGAATCCCTACAATTTTTGCACAAAAATACTAAAATTATTCTCACACTTCAGGTAAGGAAACGGAGGCTCAGGAAAATTGTATTTCTTCACAGCCAGCCAGCCTGGCTTTAGACTACAGTTTATGCTTTATGATTTTTATTACAATGGTTTTCCTGACATTAATAAAACATTGTAATTTATTCATAATTAAAGGGAAAGATGAAAAGGGGAAGATGAGAAGGAAACTATGTGAAACTCAGAAAACTTAGGTGGTTTGTCCAAGGTTGTATGTTCTAAAGCCAACTAGTATTCCTTTCCATTATATGCTGTTTTCCCAATCCTATGAAAGGCTGGAAAGGAAGAAATTAGAAACATAGAAACACACAAAAAAAATTAGGATATCCATTTCTTATTTCATATATGAAAAAAGTAATATCCTTGGGATTTATAAAAAACTACAGAGACGTGATCACATTCAGTCTTAAGGTCTGAACAATTGCCAATCTAACATATACATTCTTTGGACATAGCCCGGGAAAGTCTTTCTGATCTAAACAGACCATTTCTTCCTTCTCTTTTGGAATTCTCTTTCACTGTAATGATCACTTTTTACTCTACAACTCCCTGCTATTCCAACTGTTGGTTTTACTAAAGATCTCCCATTATTGTGAATACATTTTCTTGATCACCTAGATATCCATTCCTTACAATTGGACAAATATAACTCATCTTCAAGTCATTTTCTTGGTTTTTAGTTTATTTTGAGATAGGTTCTCACTATGTAAACCAAGCTGGTCTTAAGCTCAGAGATTCCCCCTGCCTATGATGGACTTCCAAGTGCTAGGATTAAAGGCATGTGCCACCACACTTGGCCCAAATCCTTTTTGTCTGCTTTATTACTTTCTCTGTTCTGCCCTGAAATCATGGCTCAGCTTGTATCAATTTCAACAGTATCCTGCAGAGTTCGGCAGCCCAATATTACTAAATCTATTCTTGCCTATTCTAGCCTCTCCAAGTTTAAATGTAAATAAGTTTTCTTAATACAAACGGTTAATGCCACTTTTCTGTTTAAGCCTTTAATTTTTTAATATCCTACAGAAAACTTTACTGAAGGGTATAAGACATTCAAATCTAAGTTCACAATGAACTATTTAAAACTCTGAAACCTACCCTTCTCATTCATTCAAATAAACAGTCTTGGAAATGATTATGTTGTAGGATTTCAAGTTATTAAGCTCCTGTAAATTTCCTGTGAGATTATTTCTTTCATATGAATAAGCTAGTCTTTATTGATTTTTCAGGTCTCAAATTTCATTCTTACTCATATATGTAACCTATGTTCCTGATTTAAGGCATTACTTATAGTTCTCATGAAAGCAAAATTCAGTTTGAAACCAAAATTTAAGAAAAACATTGTTCACAAGGATACTGTTAGGAGAAAAATGCTAGTTAAGGTGTCTGGAACACTAAGTGGACAGCTTTGCTGCAGCACTAGTCAGCTTTAGGGAGATGCTTACCCTGCTGGCCCTGGGGGGTCTGTGAGATGATAAACTGTGCTGGTTGCAAGTTGGTGGTTGGATGCACCAACACAAACTGTTGCAAGTTGAGATTTTGCTGTTGAAGCTGTTGCAGCTGTTGAAGATCCTAAAAAATTCAGAAGCAAAACACAGATTAGAGATTCAGAAATGAAAGCTGGCATAACTGTAAGGTTCTTAGATTATGTCTTCTGTCATATCAAGTAACAATGAGACAATACTTAAGATAGTCTGGCTTCTAGGACTGTGTCAATGTGAGAAATCCTCAGGTTTCAGACCAGAGAGAGGCTCAGTTGGTAGAAGAGCTTTCTGTGCGAGCCAGAATGCCAGAGTTTGATCCCTAGAGCCTATGGTGGAAGAAGAGAACTGATTCCTGAGAAGTGTCCTGACTCACACACATACAAAAATAGCAAATGTCAAAACCCAGAAACCTTAGGGCCTCTGCAAGAAGTAGTATTTTTGAGGGCACGATGTATGTAACATCATGACTTATGCCAAGCCAATTACTAATAGTACTTAAAATCTTCCAGAATAAATAAATATAAAATAAATGTCTACAGTTATAGGGAAGGTTATTTTCAATTTTAAAACTCTAATATTTTGTTAGTATGTGGGGGAGGGGGTTTGCACATAGCACACATACATGAGGAAGTCAGAAGAGAATTCTGGAGTTAATTCTCTACTTCCACTTGCTACCATTTTGAAGGCTAACTTTGACTATCTCTGTAATTTACTGTGGACATCCCTATGAGGAATTTTCTTGACTCAAACACCTAAGTTGGAAAGACCCTTGCTAAATCTGGGCCACACTTTCTGGTGGTAACCCATAAAAAATAACATGGAAGAAGGAAGGTTCGGCCTGCTCTCACTCTCTCTGGTAAGGTCTATCTATCCTGCTGCTGAGGCATTCTTCTGCTATTAGAATCTACTTCTTCAGGAGTTCAAGGTAGACTGAAGACTAGCTGAAACATCCAGCTGCATGCACTAAACAACTATTGGATTCTTGGCCTTTCCTTTAACAAACAGCCACTGTTGGACTGGCTAGACCACAGCATATAAGCAACTCTAATCCTTTTGATATGTATTCGTTCTATGAGTTCTGTTCCTTTAGATCTGGTCTAAAGAAACACCAACATGAACTTTAAAAAGGCTTTTAAATATTTGACCCAATTTTTCTCTAAAGTAAAAATTGAGAGTGCTAGATCCAAATTTCCATCCACGAAAAGATCTAATTCCTGAAATTTGATACCAGCTTATCCAACTCAATTGAGAAATCAGTGTTAGGTATAAATGATCTTATTTATCTCAATTTTTGACATGGTCTCAGAGCTCACATACTAAAATAATTTGATTAAGAAAATGGCTCAAAAAAAAAAAAAAAAAAAAAAAAACTATCTTGATACAGACTGTGCACACAGTAATAAAGATGAATCTGACTCCATTTCATGAATCTAGCCAAACTCTTGTTACAGCTTAAATACACTTCCCTTCTCTTGTGGGGATATAAAGACGACTGCTTAGTGCATAAAACTTCTTTACATATGTCTTCTCACACACCTTTTCATTTTCTTGACATAAAGGATTTCACTTATTTTCCTTTTTATATCTTTTAAGTATTTTATTCTAAAATGTGAAAACTAAGATCCTGTAACATTTTACAGTTCTCCATGGTTCTAATCACTCCAAGCAGAGAGAGGACTTCTTGTCTTTCTCATAGAATGGCAACACTTACTGTAGAGCACAAGAATTCTTCCCTGCTATAATTAGCTAATTAAGACAAATACAGTAAGTGTTTGCCTCAGAAATATGCCAGCTACTTATGCAAGAAATGTCACTTAACATAAACATTCAGTTATCCAAATAATCAGCTATGTATTTATATCGACTCTAATAAGCAAACAAGTGTGTTGCTCTGACTCAGTGAAAAAGGATAAGGCCTTCTTGATCTAGAGTTCCTTGGGCTTTTGAAGACCCACAGTAAAAACAGAAAGCTACCAATATTCAGTAATATTTCTCCATTTTCTTACTTGCTTGCTTTCCCTGTACGCCTGTGCTCACGTACCTGTGCGATCTGTATAGGCTGAGACAGTGGGATCTGAGTCATGGGTGTGGCAGCGGAGGCTGAGATGGTGGCCCCAGCGGCACTGTGCTGTTGGCTGGCGGAGTGCTGCTGTACTGCAGCAGCCAGGAGCTGGGCTTGCGCCTGCGCCTGCTGTAGCAGTAACTGCTGCTGGGCTGGCGTCAAGGTAAGCTACAATAAATACACAGGGGAAGATTGAAGAAATGGGCCCTGGAATGCTAGCAAACTGCTTTCAAACAGGCGACTCAAGTGGTATTACACCCTCACTACTCATTTTCATGTTACTAACATGCAGCTAAACCGTCCACCTATGACAAACTACTAGGACTAGCAGAGCATTTGAATTGAAGTAGTAGTCCCCACTTCAGACTTGAAGAATCATTTAGGCAAGAAAGGCAATTAACTAGTACACAAGAAAACAAAGAATCAATATTGACAGGATATGCAAAGAAATTTACACCTAACAGTGAGTGCTTAGTCGGATGAATGAGGGACAAAAGGTTGCTGTATATGACCAGGAAGAGAACTGATAAGGCCCAGCTGCTCCCCACTATATTTCACCATGTCCATTATGTCTTAAGATGTGACTAAAGAACATGAGCTGCACTTATTTGCATTCCAAATCTCCCTATAGGACCTTCCCTCACCCAATCTTCTGTCATTGAACAGCATTGGTTTGCAATTTTACATACTCTTTCCAATTTATTAACTCTAGGAAACAGGTGATAAGAGCCACTCTTCTAAATGCAAAAATGTATCTGAATGCCCAGATTTAACAAAATCTTCAAGGTATATGAACCTGGAATCCTAAGTGCCTGATAATATCTTAAGACATTAGCAACAAAAATCTGAACCTAACAATGAAACAAGAAATCTATTTAGAACAAACCTAAACTTTCATAGTACAGAATTTCAAGAAATGCTTACATAAAAGTAGTAAGTCCTTCTTTGGTGACACATTCTGATCAAACAAGGAAGTTAATACCTGTATCTCAACATCATTCAGCAGCACAGCCTGCCTTCTAACCTAACAGGATCTATTTATTCAAACAATTTGTGTATTACAAACACAAGAACCAAAGCAAAACTATTCAAAAATGCAATAGTCTTCAAAATGTGTGTATATATGTATATTTTATAGACTATAGGTATATATGTTAACCTCTAGTGATGGAAAATTATAAATGCACAAGAGTTCTGAGAAGAACCATCCATTGTTCATACTAGCTAAAGTTAAAATGTAAAAAATTCTGAAGGTTCATGATGTGAACTGATTAGTTTCTTTCTTATCATTCCCAACTCACTGTTTTCACAAAAGATAATACATAAGCTTTCAACACTGAAAAATTATTTCAAACCGCTAAATACTTAAAAGGACAATTTGTTAAAAATAAAAGTAAGCATCATTTATTGAAAGCTACATGCCAACCACCTTTTTAAGAGATTTATATAAATTGCAATGGTACTTAAAATAGATATTATTAATACCTCCAGTTAGAAGATGGAAATCTGAGAAACAGGGAGATAAACTAACTAGTCCTTTAGTAATTACTAAATACATAGCCAGGACATGAGTCCAACATGTTTCACTGTAAGACATTAGAAAGTCACTTCAAGAAATTTTTTTCTTTTATGGTATTAGTCCATTCTTTAACTATCCTGCAATAACACAACTCCAATTTTACCATGCATATGGCAATGACTCCCTTGCACAAATGAAGCAACACCATTTTTTAATGTGTTTAAAAAAGTTTGTAGTTAATCCCAGCACGTGGGAGGCAGGGGCAGGCGGATTTCTGTGAGTTCAAAGCCAGCCAACTCTACAGAGCAAGATCCAGGACAGGCTCCAAAGCAATACAGTGAAACCCTGTCTCGAAAAACATCCCCAAAATGTTTGCAGTTTATTCTGAACATCTCCAGCTATAACAAAAGAAATCTTGTAAAGTAATGACATAGGTAAAGGTTCTTCCAGAGTTTATGCATTCAGGAAAGTCGTTAGAAATCATACCAGCTGCAGTAAACACTTTCAATGATATGACAACCAGTAGCACTTCAGACACAGAGGGAGTTTATTACAATTTCTCAATGGAAACTTACCCCAGTTATCTGCCCCCCAGCCAGCATTAGCTGGGTCTGGGGTATGGCTGACTGCATTGAAGGTTGCTGGGAAGGCTGGCTTGGTTGCTGTGAATCCCCAGATTCTTCACTAGATTTAGACTAAAGTGGGATTGGACAGGAAATAAAATATCTCAAATAGTTGGTAAAATGAAATGTACTTCTAACTCTAAAAATTCAAGAAATATTTAAAATATGTGCTACTCAATTTTGAGTTTTGGGGGATTTCTCTTTTTCTTTTCTTACAAACCTTTTCTTTCTACTTAAGTACTCTTACATACATCTTCTTTATTCCAAAACCAGGAAAGTTGCATTTATAAAATTTTAAGAGAAAATGAAATTGGTCTTCCACAAATTAACAAAACCTTTCACAACCTCAAATCCCCAGTTCAGGTAACGAAAAGGAAAAATCATTTTCAATTCATTTCTATTATTAGACCCTTAAAATTAACACTTTGACATATACCTGTGGCAAGTCTCAAACTTTTTCATATACTATCTTACAGTTCAATTACTTGACCACAGAACTTTTTATCTACTATTTTTAAAGAACTCTAAATGGAGTATCTTACACCAAATATTATACAAGCTTAAAGGAAAATGGTATAGGCAAGAAGAATTTATAGGCCTTAAACGGCAGAGAGAAAAAATTTCATGGTAATTAAAACTATATTAAAATTCTGCATAGATTTGCATATTTTCCACCACCTGTTTGGGGGACTGCAGCAAAGCTAATTAACATAAAAGCTCTGATTAATTCTGCCAGTCATTGAAAGATAATTATAGTGCAGGACAGTAAACATTCTGCATTGGAGATATAGCCTGTTTGCCAACATCTCTCTAAGGGATGTTAAGTTTGCCATGGCAACCAAGGCAATTTTCTGTCTCCTCTCCCTCAGAAAGGAGGGTCACATTATCTCCTTTTCTCTTCTTATTTCCATATGTTACTAGGTCCATATAACACAACATTTCATAGAATGTTCACCCAAAAATCTTTAGTCATTAGCAGTACTAAAAATCAATCTTTTAGAATACTGTTTATTCCATCCTGACTGTTAAGTTTCCTAAACACTACCATGAAAGGCTGACTGAAAAGTTATGGAGTTGTGTGTAAAATACTTGAGCTTTGAATCTTTTATCTGATGGTTTACAGAAGCAAAAACAAAAACAAAACAAACAACATTTAAGTTCCATTTTACAATTTTGACTCTCTGACCAACAATGTATTGCTTTTCTTTTCTTTTTTAAAATATTTATTATTATTTTAAACTATGTGTATATGTGTGTCAGTGCACATGTGTGTAGGTTTCTACAGAGGCAAGGAGAGGGTGTCTGTCAGATGTCCCTGAGTTGTAGTTACTTATGGTTCTGAGCCTCCTGATGTGGGAACTAAACTGGAGTTCTAAGTAAGAACAGTAATATGCTGTTCTTAACTACTGAACCATTACTTCAGCACACTTTAATATTACTTCTGTTTAGATCAGAGAAGACCACTTACAATGTTATCAATATCTTTATTTAAATACAGGTAAGCAAAACTGAGTTCTAGGAGGCTGTGACTTGCAAAAGGTCATACCGGTAGTTATTGGTACAACGAGACTTTGAAACCCAAGTTCCCTGATTCTCTGTCCAGTGTTTCATGAAAAATGATAAGCAGAATGATTCTTAAGAAACTATTTGGTTTTGGGTTCAGTATGCATTCCTGAACTTCATTCTAAAATTCTGAAAAGTATGACTTCACTTGTATACCTCTGGCTCACACACAGTAGCAGATTAACATAAGTTTCATTAATGACAATTATTACCATAAGGGTTCAGCAATAAAAATATAGAAATAATAAAATCAATAAGTAAGCCCAATAGTCCCTATTCTAAATTATGTGATTATAGGAAATTATGAAAAAAATTAATGTAAGATATGACCTATGTGCTCATATCCAACTTACCTGAATGTTTAAAGATTGAGCAGCAGCCTGAAGACTTGTGCCAGCGAGCTGGACCTAGGAGGAAAGTAATCAAAGGATGTAATAATCTAAAATAGTGTCATTCATCACTAGACAGTGTCATCAAGAAATACTTCAAAAATTTTAAGTTATACCACTGAGTTAGAATTGAACATACAAATACATATTTTATAGGGTTAAAAACTTTACATAATTGCAGAAATGTCTTCTCAATTAGCATCATCCCTAAATGAGCACTACTGAGTATGCCACATTTGCACTGGATGGTGCTCTATAGTTATGCTTAAGCTCTGAAAACCTAATTTATATCTTCCACATTGTTTTAAAGAACACATAAAAATAAATTAACATGCACCGTTTTTATCATTATAAACAAGAGAGTCTATCCTATAAGCCATACATGAAGAAAAAAAATCTCTTAATATTAATATTTCAAAAGTTCAAATCATAGTCACATTAAAGTAAGGGCCCACATGCAATTAGAAAACCATCATTTGGCAACTGTGACAGAAACCTGATTTAGAAAAGGGTCATCAACAGATCATCTAACTAATGGGCAAAACAAGAATAAGGTATTTCTCCACAGATGATGAGAATTACAAAGGATATAATAGCAAGCAAATGATCAGGCTGAATAATTAGTATTATCAGTAATGAGATTTGCCTTCTCCTGCAAGCACTGTATTTATGTTGTAATCCTACCAAAAAAAGGATAACCTGAACCGCCCCCCCAAAACAAAACAACAAAAACTAATCATAACAAGAAAGACAAGCTCAAATTGAGGAACCTTCCTGACTTGTATTCTTAAAAAATGTTTTTTAAAATTAAATATTTATAGTTGGGCAGTATTGGCACATGCCTTTAATCCCAGCACTTGTGAGGAAGAGATAGGTGGATTTTCGTGAGTTCGAGGCCAGCCTGGGAGAGGCTCCAAAGCTACACAAAGAAACCCTGTCTCCAAAAAAAAAAAAAAAAAAAAAAAAAAAAAAAAAGAAAGAAAGAAAAAATTATTTATTTATTGAAGGATTAGGATTTCGTTGTCTCCTAATATTTTGCAGCCCCTCTAAGGTTAATAATGTCTTGAAAGTAAAGAAAGACTAAGAAGGAAGACGAAAGATTATAAACTAAACTACATTACAATAAATGGAATGGTGGTAATGAAAATAAACAGTAGAGAATATGAAAGCTACTGTGTGCTGAACAGAGATGTAGAAAAGTATGACTAATTCCTTCATTTAAAAACAAATTTGAGGATAGTTGATGTAGGAGGTCTTTCTGTATGCTGTAAATACATGTTGCTCTCACTGGTTGATGAATAAGCTGTTACTGCCAATGGACAGATAGAAATTAGCCAGAATAAGAATAGAGAGATAATAGGTGCAGCCAGGGAGAGGCCACCTAGCTACCAGGAGGGTAGAATGCCTGGGCATTCTCTAGTAAGGTAAGGCCACATAGAGATACACAAATTACTAGTTATGGGTCAATAATTAAGAGAAAGCTAGCCAGCAATGCCTAAGCCATTGGTTAAGCAGTTATAGATATATATTAATCTCTGAATGGTTATTTCATTAAGCAGCTGTGGCACCTGCTTGGTGGAGAGAAAACAGGTCCAGTGGGTCCCACGCTAGACCAGGAAAATCTCCATTTACAGATAGTTTCCTAGAATTTCACCTATTTATAAGTAGGAGAGTTTTTTCTTTCTTTCTCTCTTTTCTTAATAATTTGGTAGTATGACATTTTGATTTTGGCAATGTAAATTAAATGAACAAAATTAATGTTCCATTTTGGACTAGGGGGGGTTAATCATAGATTTAAGCTCATGTTCATGCAGAATGACCTAGCTGTTTTATTATATGCCAACAAAATATTTTTTGTTCACACAGTGTAGAGTTAATAGCTTTTGTATAGCTACATGAATCATGCAGCAGGATAGTTACATGTGGCTTGAAATAACTTCCCTAGCATTTTATGTCTCTTTTAAAAAGCATTCTCAGATACCACTGGGTGAAACAGTAGTCTACCTGGTGAAGATGTCCAAGGAAAGCCTGGGCTTGGGCTGTTGAGATTGCTCCTCCAACAGTTACAGGCTGTTTCTGAAAGTCCAGACCATTCGTTTGCGTGCCTGGAAAATAAGCAAAATAACTATCAAGTGAAATAAATTCAAATGGAGCAAAGTACTTAACATCCACCAAGAACTTGATTTTAATAATTACTTTTCTAAATACTTTCAAATATAAGGATTGGGGGAAATGGAAATAAGACTATCATGGAAGAGAAGTCAGAAACTGTGTAGGAAAGATCACAGAAAATGGCCAGAAGATGAGAGGAATGTCATGAAAAGCTGTTTTCTGGATATGAGATGGATATGGCACTCATGAACTCACAGCATCTATGGATATCTACTTAAGACCTTCACAAAATCAAACCAGCCAAAATTCTAGCGCAATGGGAAAGGCTCCATCCCTTAATGAAGAGCCACTAGTGGTTGGTAGTTGCTATAGGAGGGAGAACCAATCTATTTTAAGGGTGTTCCCAATAGGAACACTGGTTGGACTTAGTGGTTATCAAAACACAACCCCCCCCCCCACAAGAGTCATGTAGCTAGGATTGGGAAACGTCAGGGAATATGATGAAGGAGAGGAAAGGTGAAATAATGTATGACATACACATATGAAAGTCTTTAGAATAAAGAATTATAACTAAAAATAAAAGAAAATATAATAAAAGCAGATGTTTGAGTGAGAATGGCCCCCAAGGGCTCATGTTTGAAGACTTGGTTTGCCCTTGTTGGGAGAGGTACGTCACTGGGGATGGGCTTTGAGGTTTCAAAATGCCATGCCATTCCGTTAGCCCTTTCTGACTCATGTTTGTGGCTGCTATCTCAGGATGTAAGCTCTTAGTTACTGCTCCAGCATCACACCTGCCTGCCTGCTACCACACTCTCCATTAGGAGAGTCAAAACTCACCCTCTGAAACTCTAAGTCCCCAATAAACCTTCTCCAATAAGTTGCTTTGGTAATGGTGTTTTGGCATAGCAATAGAGAGGTAACTAAGACAAGTGACTTCTCTTCAAAATGTGGGACAAGAAAGTATGTAATACCAACAATGTTTAAGAAGAGGCACAAACAAACAAACAAACAAACAAAAACCAAACAACTGACAAATGTTAAGAATTACCTAACACATAGAGATACAGTGATTGCAACAACCAGGGTTGAAACTGGTAAGGCATTTATGATGGCTTCAAGGAAGAGATCATTTTTCCTGTTGAAAAGGATGGTAGAGACTATCCCAAGAGAGGATCTGTTATCCTACTTAGCACAAAAGACATTCACTGGTTACTTTGTGAGGAGCAAGGATTTACTACTGATGCAAACATTTTAATGGTTAAGTGACTCTATATAAATGAAACAACAGTTTTAATGATTTCTTCAATATCAAATAATAGATTCAGACAGACAGACAGACAGACAGACAGACACACACACACACACACACACACACACACACACACACACACACACACACACACACGAATTTCTCCCTCCCTTTGGTTTTGAAACAGGGTCTCACAGAGCTCAGGCTGGCCTCAAACTCATGACTTTCTTACCTTAGCTTCCCAAGTGCTGGGAAAAAATGTGTGCCACCACAATCAGCTTTACATATCCTATTTTCATAGAGTCCACCCAAATCTTAAACACTAATTCTACATTCAGCTTTTATGAAAGCAAGCTCCAAGACTGATTAGCATTTAATACTGTTTAATTGCTATGCCTTTGCCTCTGGAGGGGGATGAGATTTTAAGATATAGTAGTTGTACTGTAAATATTTCAATCCAAAAAAATAACAGGATGTGTTGGTATCTAATAAAACCTTTCTGACTGAGGGGAGACTACCTCTCCCAGGCTTAGTGAATACTTAGCATTAAAATGATTCAAATCAACTCTAGAGTGTTCATCTTGCCCTGCCTTGCATTTCCCACAGAAAATCCAAAGGTGGGGTCTAAACCTTCCACCTTGTCTGTTTTTTATTTTTTAGTTGTCAGTTTTTTGTTTTTTGTTTCAAACTGAAGGCTTTTTCCCAGAAGTGTTATGTATGTCTCCTGTCTCCAGAACCTTTGAGTATAGTAAACTTTGCTTTTCTGAGCCTTCACTTATCCTTTTTTGTACCTATAACGGACTGAATGTCAACACAAGAATAGAAGACACTTAGACAACCACTCAAATATATATAGACATATAAGACACAAAGGTAGGTAATGGCTTTAATAATATATTTGCCACATTGTGAGATGAGAGTGGAAGAAAGATATTACAGAGAAACCATTCTTGTTGAACTAGAATAGAAAGAATGGTGATCAGATATACACAAACAGTTCCAATTGAATTTGAGTATGAGACGTTCAGAGGCAAAACCAAGTAACACTTGGATTTGCATTTTTGGAATAATTGGACACTGAAAAAAAGAACTAAGAGTTTATTCATTGGGTCCTTAGCCAATGAATAATGTAAGATGATTATTATTAAACACATGAAGGCCTAGAGAGCCTGAAAATAACACTGAAGTAGTCTAGAGTACATCAAGAAATGACAGGCGAGAGTAAAAGATTCTGTAGAAGAGTATTAACAAGCTAAATCTTTGTAATATTGTATCCAAAGCTATTAATAATGCATATGTAGAAAAACAGGTTAAAAACAAACAGGCAATTAGAAAGCAAGGAGGCAGGGAATCCTTGATCCTAGTGTTTCCAAGAGCTAAGGGAATGATGGGGTAGTTAAACTGTCAAATGCTACACAGAAAAAGATCAAAATACCAAGAAACAAATTAATCTTAAGAAAATAGAAGACAGTAATAAACAACATATACCAGAAAAATATCACCTTGATTATAACTTACCAGTTTCTGGAAAGGTGAAGCCAAGAGAGTATGAGGAAGCAAGTAAACCATTTAAGGACAGCAGAAAAGACATATCACAACTGCTGGAGACTGGAAGACGCAGTGGGTATAAAGCATGTGCCCTCTCATACCTAACGACTTTAGTTTGGCTCGCCAGAAGCCACCTAAACACTAGAAGTAGTCACACATATCTGTAATAATGATAGGTGGAGGCAGTGGAATCCTCCCAAGCTTGTAGGCCAGTTATCCTCGAATGACTGGGGTTAAACAAGAGACCCTGTGTCAAACATGGTGCAGTTAAGGATCATCACCTGAGGCTGTCCTCTGACCTCCACACATGTCTGTATACACAGATAATAACAGGACTTCATAAGCTTACTTCACATTAATGAAACTGAAACTCAGAAATGGATAACTCTTCAGAAAATAGAATTTATCAAGACTGACTCATGAAGAAAATAGATAATACAAGAGTCCCACAACAATTAAAGAAACTCAAACTCAGTAGGTTAAAAAAACAAAAACAAAAACAAAAAAAACCTCCCCTAAAGATAACACGCCTGATAATGTTACCTGATAATGGTTCCAAACATTCAATGATTAATTTAATAGTTTACAGTTCCCCAAAGAAGAGTAATAAAACATGAAAACACATCCTATCTCATTTATTAAAGTCAGTATAACCTTGATACCATAACATGTTAAAGTGTGTGTGTGCATGTGTGTGTATATGTATGTATGTATATATATATATATGTATGTATGTATGCGCATCAGCTTCCTTCATAAATACAGTCAACTTCAGAATAGCCAGGAAAAGAAAACATATTGAGATAATAGAATGAAGACTGTGACAAAGATGATTCCAAGTATACCACCAGTTACAGGATATAGGCCTTTTAAGAGATACTTGGCTTTTGTGAAATTAAGAGGCCATTTCTGCCTTTCTGCCAGCAAGGAGGGACCAATGTGCAATGGTTCCCTCCCATGTCGGCAGCTCACAGCACTAAACTCTGCAGTGCAGTTACACAGCTCTGCTCTGAGGGCTTGGCTCCTATTCCGCTTGCTCCCCATCCCTTCAATACAGAAACAATAAATATAGACCACTCTTTACTAGAAAACTACATTTTGTACTGCTCTAATTTGGTAGGCAGCAGAGAAAATAAAACTGAGCCACCAAAAACACAATGCAGATGAATCTCAAGTCTGCATGTTTGATCAAAGAAGAGAAAACTCCAAGGCTATATTTGGGTGATTTCATTTATATGACATGACATTTAGAAAAAGGAAAAAACTGAAAGGGGCCATTTAAAACAAAAAAATAACTGACTGACCTAGCTTTATAAATGAGAAAACACACTGAAATATTCCCACTGTATAACTACACAGTAACTAAGCTCAGACTGTGACTGAGTCTTTCTACCCCTGCCTCACATTCTCTTCCCAACATTCTGACATCCTAGAAATCCAAGCCAACGTTTTCTTGCAAAAGTACTATGTAAGAGATTGATTAATCAAAATCAAGCAAACTGGAATCATAAGGGGACATAAGGTGTCAGAAACAGGGGCCTTTGAAATCCATCTCAGAGGACATCCCAGTTACACTAACTGCTTCTTGAGGTTTAGTTTTGTTTTTAATGTATATGTGTTTCACCTGTATGGCCATGTGTACCATGTGCATACAGTACCCAGAGGCCAGAGAGGGAGTTGGACCCCTTTAAACTGGAGCTATAGATGGTTGTTGAAGGGATTACACCCTCATCCAGCTCCCTGCTTTAGCAGCTATAACAGGCTGAAGAAAAGACTTAGCAAGACAAAGGCCCACGAGTCAGCACATGTGCTTAGTTTAAGGCTTTCTGATCTGACAGGAGCTGCCCTAGTCACTAGGAGGTCAGATACCCTCCAAGAGTCAAGGAACAAATCAGAAGCTAGCTGGCAGACTATGGACATGCTTTATGGCAAAAGTGGCATAACAGTAACTTGCTGAGCTTAGCAACCACCCTGGGAGGCCTACAGACCATAACAACCAGTTGTCCAATCAACACAGGACAGGTCGCCCAAGCCCAGAAGTGCACCAATCCTCAAACTGTTGCATACCCCTAGACACTCCCCTTACACACTTCAATAAATTCCCTGCCTTGCTTTTCCCCTGGGTCCTTCTCATTCTACACCCCCCATCCCATGATAAATAGACAAAGGGCCCTAGTTAATGGAGTTAACTTGTTA